AGCAATAACAGTTGCCTTCTACAGTCACTGCCGGTAAGAGGGATGGCTGGACAGGAAATGCTCTTGAGGATCTGTACTTGTGCCTGTAAGCACTTAGATCCAAATGGGAGCAAATAGGCCTAGTTTAGTTCCAATAAGATGGAGTGGCTTATTGTGTGAAAGCCTTCTGAACCAAAAGAAACTCCATCTTTAATTCTAGGCAGGGTTCAGTTCCAGGGACAGAATCAGTTTGTAATCTGGGGTCCTGGACAACTGCTCAAAAGCAGGTAGCATCTACAGCTAGGATGACTTTTGCACAGCTCCATCTTTGGTAGATGAAAGTTCCTGAATTGTGCACTCTTGCTCTCCATCATTCATGCCTTGATAATGTCTTAGTGAACTACGCTAATGTGATATACCTGGGATTGCCTTTGAGAACCATCTGGAAGCTTCAGATGGTCCAGAATACAGTGGCTCAGGAAGCTATGTCTGCCAGTCAATTTTTTCATGCAACACCACTGTTTCAAAAGCTGCCCGGTTACCCGCATGTTCCTAGATGCAATTCAAGGTCTGCTTATCACCTTTAAAGACCTCTGTGACTCAGGATACCTATTCCCAGTAGTTCTGTCCATCCATTAAGATCTTGAAGCGATGGTTCACTCTGGCTCCTTTGCTGAGGGAGCATCATCTACAGCAGGGGTGTCAAACTCAATTTCATTGAGGGCCACATCAGCATTGTGGTTGCCCTCAGGGGGCCAGGTGGGTATGGCCAGGGTGGGTGCAGCCTACTGGGTGGGCGTGGATGGAGTGAGTGTGGCCTACTGGGTGGGCGTGGCCAGCTCTACATCATTCACGTCAAGGGTGCCTGTGGGGGCCTGGGCAGGAGTGGGACAGATCTGAGGGTCTCTGGCAGAAGGGGGTAGGACCAGGGCAAGTGCCAAGGCATGGTCAATTGGAGGAGCCTCACTGTTCCTCTCAGGCCATGCAGGGGGGCTGGATGGTGGTGCGGGCTGCCTAGAGCCCTGGGCAGCAGAGGTCAAATGCCCAGCCTGGCCCTTGAGCACCCGTGGCACCAAGCCCAGCCCCACTCCCTCAAGGTTCTCCTGGTTCTTCGCTGTTTCCAGACAGCCTTGTGGAGCTAAGACTGAATGCATAGATGGCCACCACAAAATTGTACATTGGCTCCCAGCTGGCCTGGGCCAGGGCTAAGGCAGAGGGGGCCATTTCCTCATTGTTTCCAGGATGGCTTCGCGGGCCACATGAAACCACTTCGCGGGCCTTGTATTTGATCTGCAGGGAGTATGGATTACATGGCCCTGTAATGACTATAACGGAAGATCTTGAAGGACAGAGGTAGATCTATGGCCTAGACCAGGGGTAGGCAATCTTGGCTCTTTTATGACTTGTGGATTTCAACTCCCAGAATTCCTGAGCCAGCATAGCTGGCTCAGGAATTCTGGGAGTTGAAGTCCACGAATCATAAAAGAGCCAAGGTTGCCTACCTCTGGCCTAGACAATGATAAATGAGGCTTGAGCCAAGCCCAAGGAAGTGGTTTGCACAGCTTATACAGTGCCCCCCCCCGCAACTATTCACATAAAGGTAAAAGGGGAGGAAAGGAGACATATTCAGACTTGCACGTTACTGTTTCTATAGCTCTTCTAATAAAAGTAGTTTTATGATTACAGTGTCTGTTTTTTTAGTCTGGTTTGTCTTATAGAGCTGACAGGACTTCTCACTTTTTGCCCACCCCACCCCTTTGTCTGGAACATTAGTTTCCCCCCCCCCAAAAAAAAACATCAAATTGGCTCAAACTGTAGCTTTTCAGGAATGCCTTCGGGTCCTGTATAATTGTATAATAATCAGTCATCACTAGATGAACAATAATTTTATACTGCACAATATTTGGACTGTGCTGGTAAGAGTAAAATATAAAAACAGGGATTTGTATTTTGTAATTATTCTTTATAAATAGAACTTCCGTGATAGATTCCACAGTTTGGTTAGAAAAGAACTCCCTTGAAGACCTCTTCAAAAAAAGATGTTTTTGTGCTTGAACAATAGGAACTGTATAAGGAATTCAGAAGACTTTTTTTCTTCTTGACGTGTTTATAGAGTTTATAGTAAAAACTGCTAAATATTTTTAAATAGCCTGTAATATATTGCTTTGCAAATACTATTTCATCAAATTGTATATTGTAAAAGTAATAATTTACTGACATGCATAATCAAATGTAAATAGTCAAACTAGGCCAAAGAAAAGATTGAGGGCTGCATACTGACTGGGTTGCATACTGACTGTGTGCCACTGTGCTCTTCTAGACAACATCATAGTGGTCACGTCACAGAAATAAAGTCTATGCATGGCTGCATGCAATCCCACTACAGATATTTTATGACACAGAAATTATTGTCCAAATGTCACTATAAAGTCAAATCGCATTGACCTAAGGAATTATAAAAAAATCTAGAGACAATCGGCAATATTTGCTGCATCAGTTTTATAGTATTCCTAGTAGCAAAGATGGACAACATCAGAGCACTCCATCCAACAAAGATGGGTTTTTTTTCCTTTTTTGCAATGGCATTTACTCTCTAGAGACTTCCATTGGAGAATGTATTGAAAACTGTCAGTGAAAATATAAAGAAGAATGAAAGCATAACCCTACATATCCAATTAATTACAGCAATTAGTTTAGAGGATTAGAGTGCCATTGATCTCCCATGCAGGGCAAAGAACGTCATATATCTGCCCAACCCAATAACATCTAAACCTCTATGCTATAAAATGTTTGAATTCATCCCTCATGATGTTCATACTATTTAGTATGGATATTATTCAAATCATTTTTGAATGCATCTGTCTATTAGGTAATACAAGCAACCCAATTATACTGTGGAAGACTCAGAAATCCAACTATATTATGGAAGAACATCATGGAAGTTAACTATCTCAGACCTCCATGAAGAAAGGAAACAAAAATTAATATAATGAATATACGAGAATAATTATGACTACACTAAGGTGAATATGAGTTGTGGGGACTGAGGGGGCAATGTTGATTTTCATGGGGCAAAACTAGCATGTCCCAGCAATTCACATGGATTTAACATAGATATTAGCTTATCCAGGCAGAGTAGGAGTGCTAGGGTATGCAAAGCAGAGCCATATTGGACCACGCTCCAGGTTTTCTTTTCTGCTTTGCTTGGACATGCCAACAGCTTGGTGTTCTGCACTGTGAGCAGTGCCTATGTACTTGCACAGACAAAACTGGAACCCCTGTCCGCTTACTTGTCAAAACAGAATTCAGACAGCAATCCAGCAATTTTTTCATCACATTTTCTTTTTCAGTTATATAGATTCCTGTTCTCTTTTTATTATTGTTTCATTCCTTCCATTCAAGTTAGCTCTTTTGTGCTTGTGCCATTGAATGTCATGGCAACATTTTGCCATGAAGACCATGAAGTACACACCATGTTATGAATTTATGTTTAATGGTACACTTTCTGGCAAGTGCTCAATACTTTCAAATACATATTAAATGCTTATTATTGAAACACCCTGTTGATTTGAATCCACTTTAAATTTTTCTCTGTCTATAATTACAGCAAAATAGTTAGCATTATTGTCATTTTCAGAACCCCCATTATCCTGACGAGATGTTTAATGCACCACATGACATACATTTACTATTTAGGATCAGATTAAGAAAAGAAGCCAGTTTGGTAAATTTTCTTAAGATGGTTCAGTATTGGTTAGGTGGCGTTTAAAGTGCAAAACACCCATCCTGTTATGCCTAGAACTGTTTCAGCTATCTGAAAAATGGGAGCGGGAGAGGAAAATACATGACTGCATGATCTAATGATCTATGTATTTTGGCTATGGGTAATGGTTTGAAAAACAGGGAGGCTCTTGATTTTTGGAGAAAAGAATGACAAGTCCTGTTTAAATGTCTGTCTGTACAAATCCTATTTGAAATTAGTCTCCATGTGGTATTTAAGGTTTATAGTGTAGCTATTAACAATCTAGTCCCAAATTTTCAACATCTACATTTCATATGTACATTACTGGATTAGGGTGAGCAAAGTTTTGTGTCCAAGGGCCACATATATAAGGATGGGTGGGAATGTAACACACATTTGAGTAGTACTGTTTTTTTCCTTGGTATTTCAGGAATTTCTTTTTTCTTTTAGATTATAATCTGATCTTTTTTTAGCTTGCAATATGATTTATTTGTGTTTTCTATCTAAAAAGAGCAGGAAACAGGGCCATCAGTTTTCAGTTGTCCTCAGAGGGGACTCAGAGGGCTTAAGGACCACCACCACTCTGTAGATCAGGGGTAGTCAACCTTGGGTCTTTTATGACTCGTGGACTTCAATTCCCAGAATTCCTGAGCCAGCTTAGCTTAGCTGGCTCAGGAATTCTGGGAGTTGAGGTCCACGAGTCATAAAAGAGCCAAGGTTGACTACCCCTGCTGTAGATAATCATCCTTCATAATTTTGATATTAGTGACTGAATTTTATTCTTTTGATGTACCCCAAATGCCAGTTAATATTTATTTATTAAACTTCTAATGTATTTTTCTGCAGTGAAAAAGTGTACTAAGAATCTAAAGTGACACCACATTTTTGTAAAGCTTGGCTGTAATGCTGTACTGAAATCCAGGTGTCTCTTTTCACTCAGTTTCAATGGTTGATGAATGTTGCAATTTTCCTGGCCTTCAACAATATTTCAGCCATTCGCATTATTTCATCTAATCTTCTAACATTTTTTAAAATGTCAGATCACTGCTTGATTCAATAGCATATTATCTTCTTTGGGGCGAGGGGGCATCCTAATGAAATGTGTGACTGCCTTCCTCAGAGATTCCTGCTTATATTAACATTTTGTATCAGCTATATGGGACATCCCAGGCCAAGGAAATTTTGGAATGTAATCACTACAAAAGTAGGAAGTCTGATTACTTTTTGTGTGGCTTCAGGAAACGAAGTGATTGCTGTGGACTGGAAAGGGCTAAAAGATGTGGACCAGATCAATATGGACAGCACCAGCTCACTCCATGGAAGCAGCATCCATAGACCATCTACTGAGGTGAGCATTCATTCCATGTCATAGAGAAGAGAGCATTCAAGGATCAGCAGCAAAGAGAATTCCCCAACCAAAAGCACAGAAACAAGTATGTTCCAGGATGAAGATCCAGGATCTTTCAAATAGTAAAAAGGGGTGGGGGGTGTTTTATTGTTGACAATGATAGGGTTTTTTGAATTTTTATTTTGACTTGATGTAGATTGGCAGGAAACCAAATAATTGTTTGAAATTCTAATCCAATAAGATTCTAGAACTATTAGCTGTGAAAAACATCTTGGCAGTATTCCATGAAGAGCCTAGGACAGTGATGGCGAACCTTTTAGAAAACCGCCCAGAAACCGCCCTACCCCACCCCCACCCTGCCCCCTGCCCGCAGGGCCACCTATCGCCTCCACGGCCATGCCCTCCACCTGCGTCCCGCAGCATCATCTGCATGCAATGGGGTGCGAGAACGGAGTCTTGTCCCTGCTGCCCGGCTGTCATGCCTTGGCTGTGCTGCTCTGCACGGGCCGCGCCCGGGGGCAACTCTCCAGGGGGGCTGCTGGTGAGGAGAGGGCCATAGGGGGAGGCGGGACTAGAGTGACGGCGCCCATGTCCACAGAGAGGGCTCTGAGTGCCGCCTCTGGCATGCATGCCATAGGTTTGCCACCACTGGCCTAGGACAAATCCTTATCTGTGAAATTTCTCTAATGAGTACTGGCAAGACTAAAACCACATGTTCTCTATACAGTATCCTCTTGTATTCTTGTGATCATGCAGAGAATTTTCTCTTTTTGCTATAGAATCTCTATTTAGTTCAGGCCATTTAATGACTTGGTAGTAAGTCTTGTGCATCAAGTATGAGCAGCCCTGGTCCCCTAGAGGCCTCTAATAATTTTTTTCCCCTCTGGCACTCAGCTAAGAACCAGACTGGATTGAGTATGATTATGATGGAGTAGAAAATGTGAGTGCAGAAAATGTCCTCCCTTTTTAATCACATAACGGTCAGCCTGCCAACTACCAAGCAAAAAGAATTTCAGTGCGGAAAACAACACACTACATCAGTGATGGCGAACCTTTTAGAGACCGAGTGCCCAAACTGCAACCCAAAACCTACTTACGCATCGTCGGGTGCCGGGTGGGCGTGGCCCATTGGCTGGGTGTGGCTGCAGTGGTAACGGCAGACTGGGTGGGACTAAAAAGTTCAATCAATCAATTCCAACTTTGCGAGATCTTTTTTTTCCCGCAAGAAGTTGAAATTGACTGATTGATTGAACCTTTTTTTTTTGCACATGGCGGCGGAGGCCTAAAGCAAAAAGGTTTTATAAAACCCAGCTGAAGTCCTAGGACTGGGGCGACGGTGCACGTGCCCACAGAGAGGGCTCTGAGTGCCGCCTCTGGCACCCGTGCCATAGGTTCGCCACCACTGCACTACATGCTTTTCTTTCTGCTATAATCATGCAGCTCTGCCCACAATACTTGGATGATTTACACAGAGAAAATCTGTTTCTACGGTAGGTCCAATCAATTGCAGGAGAGAAAATATGACTAGATCTCAGGGTGCCTGAAGAAGTTCAAACTTCTCAGACCCATGTATTGAAATTAGGGTTAGGGAAAAACATAGAGGTTGGCTCTTTGTGTATATGTGTTTTCATTATCCATCAGCATAGAGTAGATGGCTTCAGATAGATTATCCTTCTTGCATAACTTTGTTTGATTCTTTGATAATTGTGTGTAGCCTATTTATCTAATAGGCTGTATGGAATGAAATTTAATGAGCTTTTTCAAATAGGTAAATGCTATTCAAGCATGACATTTTAGTTTTTATGAAACTCCTGCAAATGGATGGGAGTATTTTAATGTATGCTTACTTAAATTGTGACTCCTGAAATCTCTCTTCAAGGGATTTTGATTACTCAGTGTGATATATCCATTTGAATGGTAGGAGAATTGGTTCAGGTGCTTCCATTTTTCTCCATTTTAAAAATTTCTACCGGCATCTCATGGACCACTGTTGTAATATAATTGTTGGGCTATGCAGAGCTTTGCCTTTAATCAGACTCAATGGCCCAATAATTAAACCAGACTAGTCTTCTCTGTTTTGACCACCACCTTCTCTCAATGTCAGATAGCAATTTTCTGCAGTACTGTTACCAGAAACTCTTGTAATTTGAGATGTGTTGGGCAGAAGTTCTTAAGAGTAAAGTGTGACATTTCTCTTTAAGGACCCATATTGTAATAAAAATATTTAATATTTAATCTTAGAATCATTAAATAGACAAACATTACTAAACAACTATGGAAAACTATGCTTGAAAGCAAACTTAGCAACACAGTTCATTGGTTAAATTTGCATTAAATTCCCATGTTTTCACATGCATATGCGAACGCAACTCTAGGTGGGGCTACATTGCTTGGGATAAGATACACGTGGTGCTGGAAAAAGTTTTCAAATATGCTGAAATGTATTATAATCCTATATATAGACTGGTGGTGGCTTCAGATCCATGCAGGAAGCAACGTGGACCTTCCATGATGAGTTAATGACATTGCTGGGCACTTTCCATCATGCTAGTAATCCCATCTTCCTCCTGTTGCAGGAGTTACTCTTAAGACAGTGACAGAAGTTGCTTACCCTTCATTGCCATCAACTGATTGTTGGAGAATCAGAGGTATTTCTGAGGAAATGTGAAGCCATGTCAAGTAACGATACTAAACTGTCTTCCTGCCAATATGCAATCTCAGAAACAATATATGAGACAGCATCTAGGAAACTAAAAGGAAGAATTGAAGAGATGAGTCAATTCAATTAGATGGAGAAGGATGAGACAAAAGTATTTATATATAGATAAAGTAGAGCAAATATTGGGTGGAAAGCTTTTCTATAAGTAAAGTGCCACATCAAAAAATGGATGAGTAAGGAAAATAATAAAAGGAAGGTAGCTTTCAGGAAGAGTATTTCATCTTGGCAGAACTAAGGGAAGAAGAACAAAGAAGAAAGCTAGAATGGGAAAAAATAAATAAAGAAAGAAAAAGGAGAAAAGTGAAGATATTTTGCTATAGGCACTTTGTCCCCGTTCTGTTCAGTTGTGTCCAATTCTTGGGGACTTCCTAGACAAGTGCCTGCAATTTTCTTGGCACAATTTTTTTAAAAGTTCTTTGCCATTACCTCCTTCCTACGACTGAGAGAAAGTGACTGGCCCAAGGTCACCCAGCTAGCTTTGTGCCTAAGCTTTAGGGAATTTTATAAATCTAAAGCTACTTAATCATCTACTGCTGCTATGAATAAGTTTTCAACTCATTGTTTAAATGAACATCTGACAGTATCACTTATGTTCAGTGCCATGCAGCTTCAATCCCAGAATACTTATATTTTCTCACCACATCTCAGTTTGCTTTTCCCTCTCAATCTTTATTTATTGTGCTATACACTTACAATTGTAACTACTGTCCTAAAAGCATGCACCCTGGTCTCTGAAATCCTTAGTAGAGAAAGCAATAAAGCCAACTACTACATGAAATGAATATGCTATGGAGAGAATTTGGGTATGTTACTAATGTTTTATCTTCTTCTTACATAGCAAACACGGACAGATTTCTCCTGGGATGGCATTAATGTGAGTATATCCAGCATGCTACATGAGTCAATCTGTCTATGTGAGAGTCTTGCTTCAGATGGGTCTTTAGGGACCCACCATTAGGGACCCATCTTGCTTTTAGTAAATTCTGGGTCATACCTTAGATCAGGAGACTTCAAACTTGGCCCTTTTATGACTTGTGGACTTCAACTCCCAGAATTCCTCAGCCAGGCACGCTGGCTGAGAAATTCTGGGAGTTGAAGTCCACAAGTCATAAAAGGGCCAAGTCTGAAGACCCCTACCTTAGATTGAACATTTTTCTGCTTCTATCCAATTTATCTAGAAAAAACAAATAATTGATCTGAATGCCAGCTCAACACACTGAAAATATGTGTCTTTCAAGATCAAATTCCAATTAACTGAACATTTTGTCCATGATCCCACATCACTCCCTGGAACAGATCTCCTCAGCAGCAGACAACCTGATCTGTGAGTGAGTGGGTATTCAAAATGTGCTCTTAAAGTAGATGTATATTTGAATGACTACTTTGCTAGCTGTTTTGAATATGCCTGCCTGGATTCAAGGACATAAGTTAATTTTAATTTATTTTGCAAGCATTTTTATAAGGTATTATCATTATCATTTGCAAGTATAATCAAAAAACATCTATTTTAATGACTCCGCTATTTTCATTCTTTTTTTATTCTAGCACTTTAAAATAATACAGACTTTATCTAAATTATTCAGACTTTCCTAGTTTTGTAAATTGTGTATAAATGTATACATAAATACAAACACATACAATTCTGTAAAAGCAGGATACAAAAATCACATTTCAAACTGTTCATTAAAAAGTGCAAATGCCATTAAAGAAGTTAGGTCCTGTAGTCTTCATCACCCAAAAACTAAATATCCAGAAAAGAAAACTCATCTAAATTATCTACAATCTACAGTTTTAGACTGGAACTCAAAATCATTACATAAATCTAATTCTGTGTTAACCATAATATGCTGCACTTGGACAACCAAACTTGATAAAAAAAGACTACAGAAATTGCTTTGCCGAGAGTCTACTACAAGAATACCCCCAAGACAAATTATCTAAAAGAAAAAAATTCTTCACAATAGGGAAAAAAGCAAATATATTCATTCTGTATATCTATGAAGTATACAGTTAGCATTCTGTACATTCTTTAAGGAATAACACTTTTAATAACTGTATCTCATATGTTCTACTAAGGAGAGATTGTAATTAAATGGGAGTTATCCATTTAATTTTATCACTAACTGTCATATAAATTGCTTAGATCAACCAATAATGAGCTATTCAAAGGCATACAATAATATGCAGATCATGGCTAAATATAAATTTCTATTCTTCAATGCTCTGAATACAATTTTTATTAGGTGGCCAATGACTTTTGTAGCCCATTTTCTGCAGACAAGTATCAAGTACGTAGGACATGCTAGGAGTAACTTACAATATATGTGCATAATACTGCCAATTTTACTTTAAGGTAAAGTAGCTACAAGGCCTCAAACCAACACTGTTCTTCATCCACTTTCTTTCTGGTGCTTGGGTTTTCTGTGCCCCACACAATACCATTTGCAATAAATAGCAAATTCAGGAAAAATGGCTAATCTAGTGTATGTATGGGGAGGGGATTTTCAGTAAGAAGGGAGAGGCAGTTCGGGAGTATGGATTCTTGTAGCTTGTATGGATAATATGGAAGGAAAATTAACTGACACATCTGTGGTTTTGAAGGATCTGTACCCAATTTCAGCAAGGCTACAATTCCTGTATATTTTTTTCTTCTTCTTTTCATTTTGTGACTACACCATGTTCCTCAACAATAATGTTGAGTGTTTCCTTTGTGCAGCATTCAAAGATGAGAAGCAGGGGCAGAAAAAAAGTAATAAGACATGAGGTATGCTATATTGCATGCTGTAGAGCAGAAGAAGTGACTTCTGTGCAGATTTCTGGGTAAATCTTCACCTTTGAAAAACACTTTCTGGCCTTATCTACACAGTATTATCTGAATCCAGATAACAATAATCCCTTCTCTACCCACTTAGACTATCAATTTACAGCATTATACAGCTATCGCTGTGACATACTGTAAGCCTGTCTAAATTTATAATCTGCTGCCACGGTGATGCAGTATTATGTTATTAGTTGTTATGTTAGAAATGCTCTGAAGCATTTGGGAGCTTTACATACACAACAGGCTTACCTTGAGTTTTATTTATTTTCTGCCTTTTAACCTTCTCATATAATATATCATAAATTGCTGGCAAAACACATGCCAGCCAGATACCAAATGTAACTTTAGCTCATTAGAGCTGATGTAAACCTAATACTTGCCTTAGAAACTTTTTTACCTGTCAAAGCATCATGTAGGATTTCTGCAGTCACTGTTGTTTTTTCTTCTTTCTTCCTTCTATTTTAGATTTATATTTCTTGTTTTCTTAGAAACTCAGATCAGAATACCTCCTGCTCCTTTCCTCTATTTCATGTTTTATTTCTTGGTATGACCTGTTTTCAGCTATCCATGGAAGACACAACCTCAATTCTTCCCAAACTGAAACGAAACTCAAATGCCTATGGGATTGGAGCTCTGGCTAAGTCATCTCTGTCTGGTGAGGATCTCAAACCTGAGAATCTGAAATTCTTGTACTTCTTACTAACCTGGGTTTTATCCACTTTTTGTCCTAACTTCAAATCTTTATGAAACAATGGGAGTAAAAAGAAACGTTTGGTTTGGAATTGGTTCATTACTCCTTCGCATTTCTATGTTGGAGGAGGTGGGTGTTGTTGAGTGCATAACAAGAATCCGCTATTGTCTGAGGTAAAAATAAAAACTGGACAACATTATTACCTTTCTCATATTCCAGAACAAGGTCTATTTTACTAATGCAAAAAAAAAAAATCTTCATGTGTGTGGAGTGTATCCTTTCTTCTCTTGACATTCAACTGCTAATACTTTTCTAAGGCTTCATGCTTTATTACCACATATATAGTTTTTATTATTTTGATGCTGTGATTTTTGCCTTTTATTGGTGTTTACTATTTCATTATCTATGTATTTATTCCATGTGATTTTATTATATAAGAAGCCTTGGGGAGGATTCTGTCATTAAAAGCATTTTAAATAATAGAATTGGCTATTCAACTCACTCATAGTAGAGAAAAAGGAAAGAATTATACCGAAGAATCACAGAAGTAAAGAAGTTCTATAAATCTGTTTAAAGCTTTTGAAAATCTTAGTCATAACTAGGAAAAGAAACAAGTGCTAGAATTAATTAACATTAATCTTTCATGGTTGAAAACATTCTGAAAATAGACAATTCTGTTTTTATTAACAATCAATACATTACAATTAGTATATTTAATTTTTGATGAATGAACATTAAATTATGTAATTTCATATTGTTGCCTACTATAATTACTATAAATTTTTTGATTTGTAGGTAGAAAAATTGTCCCATAAAGAACAAAGGTTGGGGAATAGACAGCTAAAATCAACACTGTCTTTTGAAAGAGTGTTAATAACAATTAAGATATTTCTTTATGTAATACATAGATCAGTTTTGTTGTACGTCTCATTAAACTCTGCAGCTGCCATTAGGCAATGTCAATGACCCCCTTTTCAAGTGTTTTAGGATCAAACTAGATACACATGTAAGTTCATCACTTTCTCCTTCCTGCTGTGCTGCAGCCAAAGACCCACTCCAGATCTGCTCTTGTGTGCATCAGGAGAAAAACTACCATAAGTACCAATGCAAAATTTCTCTCTACAGGCATAGAGCAAATTTATAAAATACATGGATTGGGTGAGGATAGAAGACTATTTCTAGGAGAACCATGAGGGTTAATTCCTGAGCTCTGCAGTCTTGATTTTGCTCCCCACAGCATTTTTTTTAAAGAAAGCATATTGCTTATGCACATTTATTATCATATTTTGTTGGCTGTTTATAATTCATTATACATATTGTTATATTGTGGCCCCAATTAGCCTCTTGCTGTTGAGCCCAGATTCTCCTCTGCAATGACAAATAATTGTATTGTTCAGATAAAAAGATGGCAAAGCAATTCAGTTTTGGAGTTCCATGGCGCATATATATTTTTTTACCTTTATGGGGAGTCTCCGGTAACAGTAGAGCAATTATGTTGGGACAGGAAGAGAGAACAAAGTAGACTTGTCCTAGGTTGCCATGACAGATTGCTCTGGTGCTGTATAATAGCCCCTCTTTGTTTTATTAACATCTGGCGCCTTAGGGATATCCCGCAGCATGAAGGATCACGTCACCAAGCCCACTGCCATGGGGCAGGGTCGTGTTGCACACATGATTGAGTGGCAGGGCTGGGGCAAAGGCAGCAACCAACAGCAACATACTCATGAGACAGTACGCAAGGATGCAGATGCTTACTCTGACCTGAGTGATGGAGAAAAAGAGGCCCGATTCCTTGCAGGTATGCTACCACTTCTCTGTATGCAATAGCTCTAGGTAGAAAAAGAGGAGGAGGATAAATGGGATACAGAATAATTCTTCTAAATTTATTATGGTTCCTTTCACATTCAGCCAGATGTTTAGACTGGATTTGGCATTGTTGTCCATCTGTTGAGTCCTTCCCAAAGACCTGGATTAGGCAGTTGTTGTTATTTCATTAGAATCAAATTCCAAATCTATTTATTTGGAATATTGCATAGATGGATTGAGGCTATTCAGATATTGGCTATAACAATTTCTGATCTGTTCCTCTTACATTTGAAGAAGTGTGAAAATAATCCAAGCGTTATCTTAGAGGAGATATGCTTATTCTGGAGTGGATCTGGACCCCTTCAAATCTCTCAATATAGATAAGATTCACTGTCTTATTCCCCTGGTTCAAATAAAACAAATAAAGATTTCAATTGAAAACATCTCTATGCTGAATTACTTTTCCCCCCTCAAAATATTATAGATTGTATTTCTGACTCCAACATCATATATACTTTTACTATACAATTCCTATTCCATATTTTTAGCAACTTCCAAACTTTGCTAATGCTTTAAAGGTGGGATTTATTCCTATGCCATTGACTATGTACTTATATGCATGAGACAGCCATTCTGATACAAGATTGTCCATTCAAAATATAAAATTTCAGGATTCAGATTGGAATTTTGAGACAAGATATTGGTCAGGATATTGGACAATGAGACAGTGAAAAGAAAGACAGTGAAGCACCAGATGTATTTGGCTATTGGCAGGTGGAAGAAAGGAACGACATTCACTCTTTTCTGTCTTTTGGTAATTTAGGGGTGATGCAACAGTTTGCTATCTCAGAAGCCACGCTGATGGCCTGGTCTTCCATGGATGGTGAGGATGTAAGTGTCAATTCCAACCAGGAAAACCAAGCTGGCAACTACAATGAAAACTATCAAGAGATGATGGAGAATCCAGGTGAATATTTATTTTCTCTTAGGCTTCCAGGAGATGGACATAGAGATATAGGGAGACAGATAATCTTCTTTTCATGAAACAATTATAGAAGGTGAAAGCTATACTGATTGGGACAAGCATACCAGTCTTAGTTGTCTGTTATGAACTTTCTGTTTATTTGGGCAATATATTGGCTAAGCACTAAGCAGGAAAATTCTAGTTTTAAATGTTTTATCAGCAGTGAACACATTAAATAATGTTAAGAAAGCTGCTGTCAGCCTTAAATCCCCTAATAATGGCTGCTGTTAGAAGGTTATTGTAACCAGTATTCAGTTAATATTATCTAAATCATGGAACGCTTTAAGGCACAGCTTGTATTCTGTATTAAACTATTTCCTCTACTTTCATTATTTGTCCCCAACACCACCTGGGAGATCTCTTTGTGCCTCAGGCTTTGTAGAATTTAGGCCAAACTTGTGTCTAGACCATGTTGCTTCAGAATACAAATAGGGGCTGATGCAACTCAAAGGATGTCCTCCAGACTGGCTTAAAATCCCTCACAGTAGCAAGCTGGGAAGTTACTAAACCTAGCCTTCTCTCTGACATACTAATTGTCAACAAGCAGATGATATTTATTTGAAGAAGATCATTTGGGATGGTGAACCCTTCTACTGGAAGTAAGGTAGAGCTATTCCATATTAAGCAGGCATGCTTACATTCCAGTCAACATATATTCATTTTGTATATGTATACATATAGTTAGTTGATATGTACATTCATAATGTTCAAGAAATTTGCAAATATGTGTTTACATTTAAATACACATATTAGTTATCCACATTTAACAAATATGTCCATAAAGAGATTTCTGGGGGATAGCTAAAATATCCTTTTGCATTCCTTTCTTTCCCAGGACAAACAGGTGGAACATTGTAGCCACTATTAATTATTTATTTGTTGCTGAAGAAATAAACAATTAGTAAACAGTACAAATAGAAGTTTTTGAATCGTGAATCTTTAACTTATTTTAAAGGCACAACCAAATCTCATAATATCACTCCTATCATATTACACAAAAAGAAATTCTAACTTATTCCATGAGAACTGTGTGTGATTTTGCTCTCTTGAAAATTGCTAGTTCAAGCTAAACCGTTATAAAATATGAACTATATTGCTTTTAAAATTTTTATCTATACCCCCAAAGGGCTCCTGTAATCAAGTAAATAAAAATGCTGTGAAAACAAAAAAGAACCTTCTATGAACAGTTTAATAAGGGTGGTTAAAGCGAAGGAGGTAAGAGGAATATTTTGAATAAAAGTAGCATTATCTTAGAACAAAACAAAAAATAGGATAGGATGGAACCCAGGAATGTACACCTTTAATCAGTGTGTAGGCCTTATGTAGCATATGAAGACTCCTACCACAAAGCAGATGGGCCCACTTTTAAAATCTTTTCTTGCTTCTATTCATCCTTCCTTTATTTTATTATTTTTTACATTTTATTTTTCATTCATTCATTCATTTATTCATTAAGTTTTACTTAACCCTATCAAGAGACTCTCAGAGGGTCACAGTCATGCTATAGGTAGTCCTTGACTTACAACCATTTGTTTAACAACCATTGTGATGATGCTAAAAAAAAGGGTAGTTATGACCCATCCTTACTTACAATCGTCACAGAATCCCAGTGTTCATGTGTTCAGAATTCAGTTACTTGGCAACAGGCATGTATTTTTTTATTTTTATTTATTATTATTATTTATTTATTGTTTTTTTGAGTTTTCCTTTTTATTAATTTATAATATAAAAATACAAAAGCGAATAATAGGAAAAATAGGGGAGGGAAAAGGGAAGGGAAATGCGTAGAAAAGAAGGGAAAAAGAAAGAGAAGGCGTTGACTTCTGACTCCCTTTGGTACAGTAGAATAAGATAATAACATCAAATTTCCACTTTTTACTTTTCCATGATAGTATAAACTAGCCATTTCTACAACAACAAATCTATCTAATCAGTAAAACCAAAATTAAAGTTTCAAAGTAGAAACAAAAGTAATTGCTTTTTTTCGTTTATCAAAGCAGACAATTTAGCCATCTCTGGTAACTCTATCAACTTTTGCAGCCATTCGTCCACTGTGGGGATCGAAGTGTCCTTCCATTTTTGTTCATAAAGTAATCTTGCTGCTGCCAACATATATAACATCAGAGTTCCAATTTTTTTTCCAAGTCTTTTCCATTAAACCCAAAAGAAAAGTTTCTAGTTTTATCTTTATATTCACTTTAAGAATCTTCTGTATTAGAATATGAATCCTACTCCAATATTTCTTTGCTTTATCACATGACCACCATAAATGATAAAAAGTCCCTTCTTTACATTTGCATTTCCAATATTCATTTGAAGTATCTTTATATATTCTTGATAGCTTACCTGGTGTTAAATACCAATGATACATCATCTTATAAACTTTTTCTTTTAAATTGTAATTTAGTGTAAATTTTAAACTTTTCGTCTACATATTCTCCCATTGTTCAAACTTTACATTATATCCAAAATTCCTTGCCCATTGAATCATACAGTGCTTTACATATTCACTTTCCAAATTCAAATACAATAATGTTTTATAGATCTTAGCAATAATATATTCATCACTACCAATTCATTTTTAACAAAGTCAAACCCATAACTCTTTTTGTCTCATTTAAATCTTTATTTCAATTGTAAATATGTAAACCAATGGCAGACACATCCTTTTGATTCTAGCTCTTCCTTAGACTTGAGGATAGGATCACCAAAATTAAAAGAAATTATTTTACAGTAAGTCCACCAGTCCAGCTTTGCCACCATTTCTTTTTTGAAAAAAACTTTCTGAGGGGACACCCAAAGGGGCATGCTCCATAGAAAACCTAATTTTATATTTATTCCAAACTTTTAGAATGGCACATCTAACAAAGTGGTTGTTAAAAATCAACATTTACTTAACCTTGTCATGCCATAAATAACTATGCCATCCAAACATTAATTCATGACCTTCTAAATCAAGTAGCCTCTTAGTCTGGAAGTTCACCCACTCTTTTAGCCAGCTCAAACAACAGGCATCGAAATACAGTTTCAAATCTAGTAAACCCCAACCCCTTCTTTCCTTAACATCTTACAGTAGTTTACATGTAATTCTTGGTTTTTTCCCTTGTCATATAAACTTTGAAATATCCATCTGCCATTGTTTAAATGGAGTATTGGTTGCAAGTATTGATAAAGTCTGAAACAAAAAAAACCAGGTATGCATTTATGATGGTGGCACCATTTGGGGTCACGTGATTGCCATTTCTGCCCATCTCAGGGGGTCTTCTAACAAGCAAAGTAAGTGGGAGAAGATGAATCCCTTAATCCCTTGCAGCAAAAAAGATTGCAAAATCAAACACAACATACTGAACGATCACATTGCTTAGCCATGGAAGTTCCAGTCATAGGTCAAAAACTATCTGAATTAAAATGCCCATTATATAATACATAGTAAATAAAAAAACCATAAACCCATAAAAACATAAAACAAAAATCGTAGAAAGAATAAACAAAAAGCAAAGAAAAAAACTGTCATTTAAGTATCAAAGACCCTTATAAACAATTATTTTTCAAATAATTTTTAAAAATCTGATAAAGAGCTGATCAAATTTCAGGGGCAAAGAATTTTAGTAATAGCTAAACTAATTCCTCCCCTACCCCAGCAAAGTGTAGTGGCTCCTTTATCATCAGAGGGTGAAATGATATCAAGAAACTAAATAGATGGAATGGCAAGTGAAAGTGAAGTTATTGAAATATACTGTTCAAAAACAGCTTTTTGAAATAGCAAAAGCTGTTTTTCTTATTTTGGTGGGGAGGCTTGTGGAAAACATAAATGGCAAAGTAAGATGGCAAAGTAAGTACCAGTTTTGCCACAAAAATTCTTTTTTTAAAAAAAAAAAACCTGCCTTCTCTCTGGTAGTCAGATCTCTTTCCTGTCTTAGATCTTTTAGTCTTGTTTCAGATCACTGAAAAAAAGTGTCTGAAAACATTCTAGAATCCCTCTCGGCAGCTCCCTGTAGCACAAAATCCAAGCATCTACATCTCATAGATATCTAACATAAATATGTATTCTCAATCCATATTCACTTTATCTGTACATTGGATTAATAAAAATGGTATAAATCATGAACACATCTTCACAGCTGTGAGATTCCAAGAGTCTTAACAGCTGTGTAATTTTAAGGGACGTTCATTGTAAATTGTGTCCTCTCACAACCTCCCCAGGCAACTGCTAAGCAAGCTTGCCTTCCTGCCACAAAAATCTTGTTGCTTGCGCCTTTCCTATGTCTTCTTCACTTCTGCCTTTCACCTCTGTCTTGATTTTTATTGTTCTCTTTCTATCTTCTGTATAGAACACCTGGCCCAGGTGCAATATGACAGCTGGCCTCACTCTTACGTCTCACAAGGCATGTACTGCCTGGGTTCATCTGATGCTTGGGAAGCCAGTGATCAGTCCCTCATTGCGTCCCCAGCTGCTGGCTCTTACCTTGGCCAGAACTTTGAGGAGTGCCAGTCTAACCTGCAGGAAAGTGTTTTAATCCAGAACAACCTTATCCAGCAGCACCAACTGTTGCAAATGCAACAGCAGCAGCAGCAGCTACAACAACAGCAACAGCTACAACAAAATCAGCAAGTGCAACAGGCTGTGTTGCAAAATACTGGACTTGTAGAGGTATGGCCAGCTCAGACAACTCCTAGTGGTGAGGATAGCCCTGGTAATGGGGGTAATGGTGAATCCAGCACTCTCGTGGGAGTTCACGCAGAAGAGGAAGGGAACCCCGTGCTGGAGAAAGCACCCCTGTTGAACAAGAAACCTTCTCCAGAAGAGGACGATGTTGTATGCCGGGATCTGGAGTCTCTTTCACCCAGAGAGGAGGCAGAGCCTGCCGCCCTTAGCCGCAAGGTTTCTGATGTTACATCATCTGGAGTTCAGTCCTTTGATGAGGAAGAAGGTGAAACCAATAACTGATGCTGGCTGTTGAAAAACCTTTGACAATATGCATGGGAAACACGGGTGGGGAAAGTGTCAGGGAAGCCCCTCTCCAGCTCCTCAGTTCCTCCTATCTCAATTCCCCAGGCTCCCCCAGTTCCCCACAGCACACTTGTTTATCCTTAGATTTATGGAAAGGTAAGCCAAGGACCAAAGTGCTGGGCATTGCTCAATCTCCCCTCCCCTCTTGCACACGTTAGACTGAACTTTTAAGACTTACTGCCCAGAAAGCTCAGGGAATGCAAGATAGTAGCCTCATGTGCACATTGCAAACAGTGGGAACAAGTTATGCTGGTTATCAAGAGTGGTTTTGTGAGGCTGATTCGATTAACACAGCCTCTTGAGGAAAACGCTGCTTCGGTCTGCCTCTTGGAACCTGGTGGAACAATGATAGGGAGAGAGGGATGCTTCTTAGATAACTTTGCAACAAAAGAAGTCAGGCCTCATCAAGAATTCTACTTATGGAAGTGAGGTGCTATTTGGAGAGAAGCTTTCACTCGAGGCCTAGAGGACCATGAAGTGGAGGGCATGGATCCAGACTGTGGGACTTTAGGGGTAGTGACTATTCCGTGATAAAACTGAGGTACTCTTGAGTCCAGTTCAAACCTCATTCTTCAGCACGTGTGCATGCATTGCCGCTGAAAGTCTCTTTATGCACCCACCCTCTGTTAACTTTGCCTATCTGAGGCCTGGAGAGAGTTTTCCCCCTCTATTTATTACTGAGCACTGCATGTAGGGTAGGGAAAAGGGAGCGGGGGTCATCTGTCAATCTTATAATTTATGCAGACCTGAAGTTCAGTCTTTCCATTGTATGCAGGGAAGACGAGACAAAGAAACAAAAGCAAACACATACCACAACTTAACTATTGACTTAGTTTTCTTCTATTTTTCTCCAAAATGTTTAAGTTGTAACAGTTTTTTGGCCATCAGAGGGAATGGCCTGGTGCCATCTAGTGAAAGGTAATACTCCTCGCTTGCACGTTCTTCTGAAAAGATTGCAAAATTGAAACTGGGCCAAGAGTAAATCTCTATTGTTCGCATTAATTTTCCTTGTAGGATTTTTTGTTCTATTGAGAAATATTTGTAATGCCTAGCTCAGTCAAGAGTAAGAAAATACTAGGCGGCACATTCTTACCATTTTTATTTGATAAAAGGTTTTTTGGGGGGAATGGATGCTAAGTCTTGTGGCCCATAGAGTTTGATCTCAAGTTATCCCTTTTTCTCAGTTATTGGTTTGTCTTGGCAGACAAATGGAAATTAGCATTATGAAACCTAGTTTTTAATACTGTGTTCTTTCACCATTGTTTGTCAGAAACAAACTATGGAAGAAAATAATAATATTAAAAAAATGGCCAGAATCAATAAAAAATTTTTTGTGGTCATCATTAAAGTGGCAGAAATAAGGACACTGCCATAAAAGGTGACCCAACATTGTGTGGTGAGAAGACACCCACAGATGTGCGCATTTTGTCTGCTCTCTTCCTCCTCTATGCCTGCACCATTCATTCTATTTACCTGAAATTTCAATGTAGCTTGCAACTAGTTTGTTTTCTCTGGGTCTGCTGGCTACAAAATTGAAGAGTAAATTGCACAGCAACGCTTTGTTTACTCAGACCTTACCCCCTTTGTGTAGAGAAAGGGGAAGAACATTGGGTTCAGAAGCTTTGCATCCAGATGTCATCAGCAAAAGGGAGCTGAAGTGCCCCCACCCTTTTCATGAAGAATCGAGGGGAACTCCGTGTATTTCGACAACCAAGAAACTCTGTCTTCCCCTTTACTGCACCTTCTTTCAGGACATTTCCATCCTACAGACAAATGGTCAGGCAAAAAATAATCAAAGCAAATGCATGAAAGAAAAGCCTTTTGTCACCCTTCTTTTCCTTGTCTCTGTTTCCTTACTCTTCCTGGCTCCTTGGGTTGGGGAGACTGCTCAACCTCTGAGCCTTTGGGAGCCCACCTCTCTTTTAAAATATGTTTACATGCTACAGTGCCAACCTCTGAAGGCTAAGAGGGTTGGATACAGAACTTCGCTGGATATGAGGACCACACCTCATGTTCTTGCATTTTTTTTTCTTAAATTGCTGCATTCTGGCTTTCAGTCAGTTGTGGGGAATTCTCCCAGCAATGATGAAGAACCATGAAGAGTGCGGAGTGCGCATCTCTGCAAACCAAGAACGATTGAAACTCCAACATCATAGAGCCTTCAGGATAACCAAGAAAGCTTTGAGATGTTTCCAGTATTGTGATGGGGGAGGGTGGAGATTCGGGCAGCCTGATTCTCCTTTCCTCCAAACCATTTTGCTCCATGTGCCTATCCAGGACCAGGACTAAACCTGGATGTTTACGGTAAATTTGTTTCTGTGTAAATGTATCCTGCTTTCATCTTGGCGCTCACTGACCTTGATAATAAGTGGCTCATCTTGTTTAGATACCTTATTTTATTGTCTGTCTTTTTTTTTTAAGGAAAATGTAAGCAACATGCATTTAACAATGCCACATATCACAAATGTTTGAGAGATTTATATTTTTCTCAGTCTGGGAGATGCCAGAGAGGATCATATTGCATGGAATTCAGTGAAGAAACAAGAGAAAGCTAATTTTGTGTTTGTAGAACTGGGGATATGACTGAACAATGTGTACAGTGGAATAGAGAATCACAACTATATTGTAGATTTCTATAACTATCATTGGAAAGTTCTACCAAACAGAAATAACCATATTTTCTTTTAAATTGTACAATTCTTGGGGAGGATTTATAAATAAATAGAATTGTTCAGGATATGAAACTCCATTTACCTTCCTCTCCCTCCACCCCCTGCAAAGGGATCTTGCCTTTTAAAATACCTTTTCCTGTTGTTCCCTTTGTTTAAGTGTACCGATGTCTCTGCTCTTAGCCAGGTACATCAGCAGAGAAAAAGTTACACTTGGCCCCAGATGAGAAAAAATCCTTCAGCTTCAGTTATCTGTTCTGTAGCATTCCAAATCCAGAAAGATTGCAGCTCTCATTTTACTGGGCAAAATAATCAGAATGGCTGTATTGCTCTAGTCATACAATAAAACAGTTCTGTGTGATACCTTCAAAACTAACAACAAATGTTGCACTCTCAGCTGCTAAACAGAGTCAGGTCAGGTTCACTGACCTGAATGGAAACAGCTCAAAGTGATTCCTGATATAAATGCATTAGTACTAGCTAACTGAAAAGCAAATACTATTATCAAAAGATGGGACAGCCAATGCCAGGGCAGCTCTGCAGCTTTGAATATATTGTAGTTAGAAAGCTTCAATTAGGAAAGTTGGGGATATTTTTTTTTAAAAAAAATTACTAGAAGAAAACAGAATGATAGCACAGTATACTGCACCTCCTTTTAACCACTTTGTAGGCAAGTTTATTTCTGGGCTTAGAGCCTGACTGAGAAAAAACAAACCAGGAAGGATCATTGGGAAAAAAGGGTAGTTGAGAGAGGGTTACAGCCCCCTGCTTCTGTCTGCTCTCTTAGTTCTCCAACTCCACTGCCTTATTGTTATTTATCAGCAACCTGTGTCTGAAGAACTAAGGAGAAATTTCCTGACAGAACAATTAACCAGAAGCTGTGAATGCTCCAACAGTGGAAGTTTTTAAGAAGAGACTGGACAGCCATGTCTGAAATGGTATAGGGTTTCCTGCCTGAGCAGGGGGTTGGACTAAATGACCTTCAAGTACCTTCC